CTTTACTCGTCTTTATTCTCCTTGCTTCGACATTCTCCTTCATCGAAGGGAACATCAATACATCTCCCAGATCATCTGCCCACTTGACGTACTTGCGGTCGTCAAGCACGACAAGTCCCTCATCTATTGTCCGTTTGAGGTCCGGGCAATCCCTCTTGATATGATCTTCTCCTCTACAGTAGACGCATGAGTTTCTGGGAGTAGATGCCCTGTCGTCTGTGCCTCTAGAGATCGAACTCCTGGCCGTCTTGGGGTCAGGCGACTTGGGATATGGTTCTGATGAGACGCCATATCCCCCTCTCTCATTCCGACCGCGCGGATCGTTGCGTCGGTCTCCTCCAGACCCTCCTTGCTCATACCGCCCTCGCGAATCATTCCGGCGGTCCCCCGAGTCATATCGTCCTCGTGACTCATCGCGTCGGTCCCCTAGGTTGTACCAACCCCGCGACTTGTCGACTTGTCGCGCTGCTCTCTCACATCTCCCTCGCGCTCAAACCGTCCGCGCGACCCATCTTGTCGTTCCCAGTCCCGATCTCCTCTTTCGTATCTACTTCCTCTGTAGCCATCTCGACCCGACCTCTCGTATCTGTCGTCCCTATATCCATCTCAAGCCGATCTCTCATATCTGTCGTCCCTATATCCATCTCGTCGGCCCTGATCTGTCTCCCATCGGCTGCGGGAGTCGCCTCTACCCCGATCAGCCTCATAGCGAGGGCTTCGCGGGTAATCATCCAGCCTCCTTGCTCGCACAAACGGCACGCGATCTCTGCGGTCTCGGTCTATCTCATCGTCCCAACGTCGCCATGGCTCATTGTCTCTCTCTCTTCCCCTCGTACGATAATCAGTCAGCGTCCGAGGATTTCTATCCTCGACACTCCTCCAGGGATCGTTGTTCCTACGGTCCCAGCGAAGTGAATAGGGCCCTCCAGGTTTGTCCCGGTAGGTCGTGACCCCTGTAGTGGTCACAATCTCTGTAACCTGTCCCGTTAATCCCTTCCCCATGTCCCGTATCTCCTTCACTTCCTCAGCCACGGCCTCATTCTTCTCCGACCAGGGATAATCCTTGAAATCAGGACATCTATCAGTGGCATACTCCTTGTAGAGAGAGAAGTCACGTCTCCTCATCCCTCTCCACACCAAGTCCTTGTAATCCTCTGCCTCTGCCTTTATTGTGAGCTTTAGGACTTCTGGGAAATCAAGCCTGTCGCGCGGAAGATCTCTAAGTATACTATTTTGCCTACCTTTGGACAAGTGTCCGATGAAGATAGTACAGCACTCGACCTCTGAGATCTTCCCCTTCTTCATCAGCACGTCGGAGATCTTTTGGAAACGCATCCCAAATGCCCGTACGCTCTCATCTTCATCTTGAGTCATTGTTTCAAGGTCCTTGATGGAATACTTGTTATCCTCCAATTTGTAAAGCTCAACGAGGTTCTTCTTGTATGTAGTTCATTTCCCATCCTTCGGTCGAGCTTCCTTAACTTCCCTACCAAGACTTGGGTCCACATTAAATAGGAAGTTCTCTATAATCTCTTCCTTCGACCACTGACTCCGGCTGGCGTGAAGTTCCCACTTCTCCAGATATACTGTGATACCATAGCCCCTGAAGGTAGGAGGCTCTGAGGCCTTGTGCGCAATAATATAGCGATCCTTGCTATCGTAAGGGAGCGGATGTGACTCCCCTGTCTGGCGGTCGAAGACTCGCCTGGGCGGYGCCCTGTCTCTATCTCTGTCCCTCCAATAGGAATCCCTCAAACTCTCTCTCCAGTCGTCTCTGTGTCTGTCCGCTATGATGTCCCTCCGCTCGTACTCGGGGGAGCGTCGTCTCGTCGTTTCTCGTCGTCCGTTCGAGGTACCCGTCCTTAGAGCCTCCTGCGGCTCTGTCGCAACTGGTTCGCCTCTTACGTCGGGTCCTCCGTCATTGGTTTGGTCAGCCCATCTGAGCGGTGCTTCTTGCCTAATTCGTTCCTTCAGTTCTCTCAGAGCTCGATCGGGCAATGTCCTATACTCTTCTCCCGCTTCGCCCATGGTCGGTTGTGGCCCCATCGTGTCGGGTTCCATTGGACCGCCAGAAGACGCAGTTAGGTTTTCTTGCCAACTGTTACAACCCGACCCTACGACAGTCGCTGCAACCCGGACCTGTGACAGTTGCGGCAGCCCAGACCTGTTTCCTTGTCACGGCTCGCGTCCACCTCCAAACTTAGCTCTCGATTGCCTCGATTACCACCTCCAGTAACCCGTACCGGCCGCATATCTCGTGTTCTCCCTCTATCCCAAGAATCCTTGTGTCTAAGTAAACCTCTCCTTCGGGATCGACCAACAAGGCCGTGCCTCTCCAGATCTGCAGTTCACCCGTGACACCCCTCAAGAGTCTCCGAGCGTCTCTCTTTGCCCTCCTTGCTAGTTCTCCTAGCCATGTCTAAATTGGTTAGCCCGCTAAAGGCCCTCCTACTGCCGTCCAATGTCGCCCATCGACCTTTCTAGCTTCCTCTATCCTTCGAAGAGCTTCCAATTTCTATTTCCACTACCTTATCTCCTTAACGGCTACGAGGTCATCTTGTCTAGCAGTTGAGGTAAGTTAGTGCTATAACCACTTGTAACCTCATCGCCGACCGCTCCAATATGTCATAAAATGTCTCAAAGTCCTCCTCATCTCCACCATCTTCTATGGCCTCTAAAGTCTTTATCGACTCCTTCCAGTACCGATTGTGAGCAGCTAGCACCCTGAGTATGGCACCGTCTGCTACAACTCTCCCTAACTCTCCTGCTTTCCTGGCTTCGCTTATCTTCAATCTCTCAGCCTCTCTGGTCGTCTCGTACCATGCCCTTATCCGCGACCGCCCTTCAAAGGGTGTTACTCGGAGTACGTATTTTATCCTCCGTCCTCCTTCTATTCCAATCCAAAGTCCTGTCCCCCTTGCCTCAC